TTCGTATATCTTCCTTTGAGAAATGCCTATTCAGCTCCTTTGCCCGTTTTTAAATTGGGTTATTTGGTTTTTTATTGTTAAGTTGTTTGAGTTCCTTGTATATTCTGGATATTAATCCTTTGTCAGGTGCATGGTTTACAAATATTTTCTCCCACCCTGTAGGTTGTCTTTTTGCTCTGTTAGTTGTTTCTTTCGCTGTGCAGAAGCTTTGCATTTTGATATAATCCCATTTGTTTATTTTTCCTTTTGTTGCCTGTGCTTTGGGGGTCATTCATAAAGTCTTTGCCCAGTCCTCCTTTCTGGAGTGTTTCGCTAAGGCTTTACTACCAATGGGCATTTCAGAGCTTTGTTTTAAACCTGAAAAGCAATCATTGAGGAGTAATACGTACTTCCATCCTCACCCCAGCAGGTCCATAATGGTAGCAAAAAGTACCACCTACACAGTAATACATACTACCTACCATAAGTCGATGGAAAAAAAAATTGCTAATTACAAAATTGTTAAGGGCATTTGTCTTTTCTCATTGACCAGTGCTTCCCAGAGTGTGTCTGGGAATGGGCTGGTGCCCATTTAAATCTGCTGCTGTAGCTTGAAAGCAGCTTTGGACAATACCCCAGCCAAAGAATGCGTTGTGTTACAATAAAACTTTATTTACTGCCACTAGATTTGATTTTCACATCGTTTTAAGGTGTCACAAAATATTCTTCTTGTTTAGATGTTATTCAACAGTTTAAAAATGTGAAAACCACTTTTAGCTTGCATGCTGCACAAAAACAGTCAATGGAATAGATTTGGCTCTCGGGGCCATAGTTTGCCAATCCCTGGGTGAGACTATATTGTCTCTGAGAATTAGCATCTGTGTTAGGGAGAAGATTGTTTGTGTGTGTTTGATGATGCTAATTTTCTTTTGGATAGAAAATACACTTATAGGGTTAAAAAAAAATAAAAACAGTATAAAAAGTTGTATACTGAGAAATCTCCCTCTCACTCCGTCCGTGCCCACCCCATTTCTCTGCCAACCCTACTTCCTATAGGTAACCATTTTTGTGAATTTCTTATGTGTTCTTTCAATGTTTATGCAAATATTAGCAAATTCAGTCATCAGTCGCCCAACAACAGGAATACCTTCCAATGAATGTGTCCTATGGTGATTTTGTCCTTGTGCAAACATCATAGAATGTACTTACACAAACCTGGATGGTATAGCCTACTACACATCGAGGCTGTATGGTGTAGTCTATTGCTCTTAGGCTACAAACCTGTTCAGCATGTTACTGTACTGAATACAGTTGGCAGCTGTAACACAGTGGTAAGTATTTGTATATCTAAAAGTATCTAAAAGAGGAAGGGGGATAGTGAGAGATTGGTTCATGGACCCAAAATTACAGCTACATAGGAAAAATAAGTTCTAGTGATATACAGTCGTGCTGGGCATCTATAATTAACTATAATTTATTGTATGTTCTCAAATGGCTAGAAGAGAGGAGCTGTCATGTTCTCATAACAAAGAAAGGATACATTTTGGCAATGAGGAATTTGCCGATTACCCTGATTTAATCACTAGACATTGCATAAATATAACTCTGTACCCCATCGATATGTACAAGCAATACCTTTCAACTAAAAATATATCTAACATAGAAAAGGTACAGTAAAAATGTGGTATAAAAGATGAAAACATGACACTCCTGTAAGGGGCCCTTGCCATGAATGGAGCTTACAGGACTGGGAGTTGCTCTGGGCGAGTCAGAGTGAGCGGTGAGTGTGTGTGAGGACCGAGGACACTGCTGCACACTGCTGTGGACTCTATAAACACTGAACACTTAGGCTACACTTAATTTATTTTAAAAAATAAAGTAATTGCACTACAGTGTTATGACAGCTACTTTGTCACTAGGTGACAGGAATTTTTCAGCTTTGTTATAATCTTATGGGACCACTGCTCTATATGCAGTCTGTCATTTATTGAAACGTCGTTAGGCAGCATGACCGTGGTCATCTACATTTCTGCCCTTCCTGCATAGATGTGGAACACCATTTCTACTGCCTTCCCTCTTGCTCTTTTCCCTTGCCACCACATCCTGGAGGTGTTTCTCTGTTGGAACAGGAAAGCTTCCCTCATTAAACTGATGTATTGGATTCCTTTTAGAGATGGTATCATTATTTATTTAACTAGTCCTCTCTGCACAGACACTTCCGTTATTTCCAACCTGATTCAGAACAATCCTGCAAAGAACAAACTTGCTCATGCCTCACTCTGAGTGTGTGTGGATGTGTGTGGGCCCATAAGGTAAATTTCCAAGAAGTGGGGTTGCTGAGCCAAAAGATAAATGCATTTATGATGTTGATAGATACTGTCAATTTACCTGCTGTGGGCGTTTTGCCCTCTCGCCAGCTATCTGCATAACCTTGCCAGTATTGGTTGGAATTCCAGGTTGTCAGACTGGGAATTTTATTTATTCTAATAGATAATGGCATCTTAGTGGAATTTTAATTTGCATTTGTCTTGGGTGTGAGAGTGAACATGACCAGGGCTACTTCCAGCCAATGAAGCATCTTTGTGCAGAAGTAGAAAAAAATGCTCCTTCTAGAAAGATGAATTACAGAAAGGCACCTCCTCTGGGTGAATACAGAGCTTACTGGGCTATGCCAGGGCTCCCACCTGTGAGAAGCTCAGCCTCCACCCGTGCACCCTAGGCAGGGCAACTTCATGAAAGGATTTACACCCAGATGGTGATTATTAGAGAAAACAGTGGGGCTGCAGCTGGTTCGTGTGGGAATCTCCCAGCAGAACGCTGAAAAGCAGGAAGGGAAGTACGTCCAGGTGAGGGCAGGACCACTACAGAATTTGTGGGGCCCAGTTGCAAAATGAAAATGGGAGACCCCTTTTTTAAAGATTAGTGAAAATTTCCAGATGACTGCAGCAGAATATTAAAACAGGCATGGCATCTTTCCAAGCAGGGGGCCCTGAGGGAAGGCAGGGTTTGTACACCGGGAAAGCCAGCCCTGGGTGAGGGGAAAACACCCAAGGGTCCAGCTGGTGGCAGTATTACATTGCCCACCTGTCCCCTCTAACAGACTCTCACTACAGGATAGTCTCCCATGCAGACGATGTGGACGACAGCTCCCCAAAACATCGAGACCTGAATTCCTGTTTCCCCCAAAATGACAGGAGGAGTTACTGTCATCCAGGGAAGGGGAGGGGGACATCTGGGCTTCACTGGTAATAATGATGGCAGCTGTTGACATGCCAGACTCAGCCCTTACATGCATCTTCATATTAATTCTCAAACAAGGCCATGCAGGAGGCACCAATGTTATCTCCATTTAGAAGAGACAACTAAGGCTTAGGGAGGTGGGCTAGGGGGAGAGCACCCAGCCCGTCAGGCTCCA